CGCCCTGACCGCCCGCAGCCTCCAGGTGGGAAACGCCACTCTGGGAGTGTACCGGAGCCACCGGGCTTTAACCGACGCCCTCCGGCCAGGTACCGTCCACCAGGGTCATTATAAGTATCGATACTCGAAAAAGTATCGATACTAAAATGTTGTATCCGGATACGATGCTCATTTTCAAAAGTATCGATACCACCGCCCCTTCTCTCTGATTTATTTATTTACATTGATTATGATAATTAACGTGACGTTATCCTTGAATTGCTAATGGCTAATTATAACACGCCAACTTTAACCCTGTAATGCCAAACGTATCATATTTGAAAGATACGGTTTCTGAAATGTTTTGCGTCTGACACCTTTTGCATAATTTAATGGTAAAAACTTTGCTCAAAATCCTATTGTACACAATCAGATACACCTGATAACAGGGGGCAGAAGACTACACAAAAAATAATCTTGACTTATCGGATAGGAACAAATTATTAATATTGAAAATTGCCGTCGCTGCACCCCTTCTCCCTGATTTATTTATGTATCTATTTACGTTGTTTATGATCATTAACAAGACGTTAGCCTTGCTAGCTGCGGCTAATGGCTAATAATAACATGCTACCATTAATCAAGTACATATCCAACCCCGCCCACATCCAAGTCGGCCATTTTGATTAGGTCACCAATAGGAAGATCCCAGGCAAGAAAATCCTAATTGTTTCATGGCAATATAGACATTCATTTAAAAGTAGTTAAATTAATCTTTCAAACACTTAATTAAACTCTATACATATTATGTTAAAATAGTGGATGTTAAATAGGTTTGTACAATAAATCCAAACAAATTTAACCAAAAAATAGTTTGTCCTCAGGCCACGACGGGGAGACAGGTGTTTGTGTCACGGCCTTTTAATTTTTTCGTAACCGAATTCTTCCAACAAAAAAAGGCAGTCGGTGGCAACAGGTGGGTTTTGATTTTGACGCACTTGGCTTTATTTCTTTGTAAAATTATAAGGAAATAACAAACAAAATTCCATTATAACTTTGTTGCAAATAAAAAGTTACAAAGGTGATCCAAAAGGTAAAACAGCGTGGTCAAAAAATCTTTTTTATGCAAACCTCCCGTCATCGCACCTGACATCTCCCATCCAAACCACAACTTCCTTTATTGTCACTGTACAAAAAACACAAGGTGAATCTTGACAACGAAATGTCGTTACTTGGCTACCAGTATTCCTACTTAATAAATATGTTTTCTATATCTAAGAGCAAGATATATACAGGGTAACAGCATATATATACATATTATTGCACATATTATTACAAAAGAAACATCAATGAATATTGCACTGAGTTAATTAATGGGAGGAGCTTGGAAAATTACCGAATAAATCCTAACAATTAAATTCAAAATGAAAATTCTGTGCAAACTAAAACATATTTTAACAATTTAAAATGAAACAGAACATGTGAATGACAAAAAGTTAACTTAAATGGCCACAACAGTTTGTGATTAATGAATTCCCAGACTCCAGCAAGGAATGATGAACAAGTTTTAGCCAAAAATGTGTATATTTTCTGACCTGAGTTGTTTAGTTTCTGATGTTTTTACATGTTTGTTGCGCTTTAGTGGTGGCGTGCGGGTGGCTCCCCGCGCCCAGGAACGGGAGGAAGAACGGGACGCGTTACCTGCAGGGAAACACGCTGAAGTTCTCCTGCGATGAGGGTTTCACGATGTTCGGATCCAGGGAGCGGAGCTGTGTGGAGGACGGGTCCTGGACCGGAGAGCAGCCTTACTGCTTTAAAGGTCGGTCCCCGAAAGATGTACAACCAAAGGCCGCTGTTATTTTTCTCCTTCCTCTTCCTCTTCCTCTTCTTCTTCTTCTTCTTCTTTGTGGCGTGGTTCCAAACATTGCAAGTTAACTCATTGACTGGCAGCCATTTTCAGAACAGAGAGTCCCATACTGCCAGAGTTTTTTGAGCATTTTGACTGATTTTTCATTACATTATTGAGTAATAAATGCTTTGCTAAAAACATTTTTAGAAAATCTCTTTCTTCTTCTTCTTCTTCTTCTTCTTTTCCTTACATCATCAGCTTTGATGAAGGCAGGTGAGTCCACTTTGAATGTGGATGTAATGTCTGGATTTTGTATTTCAACTCTTTATTCCAGATCTTAGTTTGAATAAAACTTGTTACCGGATTTCTTCGGGGCATTTGTAATCATCCTACGTCCCATCTTTTTTCCTTAACCCTTTAAAGCCCGATCCAAGAATAAAAGAAAACACGAAATTACCTTTTTTTGGTTTGAATTCCTTATTTGGCCTTTTAACAAAATATGTAAAAAGAAAAAACAGAAATACTTTTTTAATATTAATACTTTATTACTATGCAATAAGTCAAGATTATTTTTTGTGTAGTCTTCTGCCCCCTGTTATCAGGTGTATCTGATTGTGTACAATAGGATTTTGAGCAAAGTTTTTACCATTAAATTACGCAAAAGGTCTCAGACGCAAAACATTTCAGAAACCGTATCAATAATGATATATTTGGCATTACAGGGTTAATAGAGCTCTCTTTAGCTCGTACCCTCCTCTAAAAAGGCATCTCACTTAATCGAACACTTGTGGAAGCGGTTCGTGTCGGGGCTTTTGCGTGAGTCATAAAGTGACCCTCCTCTCTTTCTGCGTCTGTAGGGGTCTGATGTGGTAAAGAAGGACAGATGCAGCATCCCTGTTTCGAATTCCCACTTTAGTCATTACGCGAAAGCCACTGCATGAGCTACGGGTTCAGGAATCAGACCCAGAGGAGGAACAGGACTTTAGCACACTTAGATGGTGTGATAAGGACTGTTCGAT